AACCTCTGTATAGAGACCACCTGTTTTATGTGATCATTATTTTTTGGAAAAATATGTCAAATGTACGGATGAGCAATCCAACCTCCATATAAAGATCACCTGTCTAGAAAGACCATTTTAATGAAGTCCCTTTGGCAAGTTTGATTGTACATTCATAACACAGAGTTGTAGACTCAGTTTGGATGTTTTATAGACATAGTTGTATTTGTCAGGTGTTTTTATTTTTTTACATGACTTTTCTTTTACTAAATATACAGGGACCACAATTTGGCATCAAAAATATTCAACCTGACTAGTATGAATGCTTAGTAAATAGAAGTAGTTGTATTAGTATTAGTAGGTTACAAGATGCGAGCTAGAGCCACAGTCCATCTATGAGGACCTTGCTCGAGCGTACGCGCGTGTTGCCATTGAAGCGGAGAGAGGAGGCGGGACACACACTACTTACAGTGACATCTTTTGTCGGTCCGGGCGCCAGGATGGTGACAGCTGTCTTGTTTGCGTTGGGGGGCGGAGGTGGATTAACTGGATCTATATAGAACAAATGACATGCATAAAACGAAATGAACTATGCATAGCATGCTGCACAAAAACATAAAAATACAGCAACATACCACTAAGCAAAAACAAAACACTACAGAAAGCACTTGGTGTTATTGGGTACTGCTTGGGAGAGAAGGGTGACGCCGTAGAATCTACACCCTTACTTACACCGGATACGTCTGGTCGATTTGTCGTCGGTACCGATGATGGCTTGTTAAGGGAAGAGCTCGGCACGGTAGTTGTCACATAAGGCGGCAAGTTCTGTCGTCTATCGTGGAAATCAGGTCCTATAGAAAGACGATTCATAAAAAGAGATAGAAGATAGAAAGGATGGAAACAGTGAAAGAGAAAATGTATCGGGATAGGAATAAACAAAATCGTGTTAATGTGGTGTTGTTAAAAAGAAACTGAAGAAAATAGAATAGTGAAATGTGATAATGGACATGCCGTGCTATGTTAGGGTAGTCAAGACAACGCCAAGTTTGACATATTCGATCAATACTTGGAGAGATTGGACAGGGTAAGGGTGTGTCATTGGGTCAACAGGCTAGAGTGTCATTGGACGACATACATTAAAGATCGTTAACAAATCAGAATACAGTTAACTGTTTGTGCTTACTGTTCAATTTGAATACAACTACAAAAACAAATGTCGCCACAGAAATGCACTTTCAGTTTTCAAAAGACCACTCTTAGTCAAAGTGAAATATTTGAACATTTTCAAAGTACGTCCAACGACACTGCTTTGATTCATAATATTTAAGTGCAAACATACGAGTCCGGACAAACCTGGGTTTTCAGAAAACCTCCCATAAACCGTAGCATTCACACTTCCCAGAAGGTTCTTCAATACTAAAGTATAGTTGCCGTTGTTGTAATGGGTGGGTATCTGTATATACAGACATCCGGTGAACTCGTGGGTACTGTCAGGTTTTATCATTGCCAGGTAGAGATGGTCGTCGTTTTCGTTGAAGTCTGGATCGGTTGTCCATGGTATGTCCAAAAGCACACCGTTCAAGTACCACTTAATGCTTGGCAGTGGGGTACCAGTGAAGTTGAAAAAGAAACAGTGGTGGAAATATGCATATGGTTCGCGTAGTTCCAATATACGTGGTGCACCTGCAAGAGTCACATAAATCAACAGTTCTAATGAAATCTGCACTAAAACTAGAGAATTGGAATTATCCTCATCAAATGAACACAACTAGGCAAGGCGGGCGGACGGACGACAAAAGACGAACAGTCATGTACTGTAAAGGGGGTAATTATTCACTGGGTTTTAATTTAGCTTATTTCGCTGACTGGAGAAATGCGCTAAATTAAAACACAGTGAATATTTAAAATTTAGCATAGAACACATTATCTAAATGACGAAACCGTGAATTTAAAACCCACTAAATATGCCTGAAATGGTAAATCAGTGAAATTTAAACCCAGTGAAAATTAGTCATTTTACAGTATTGCAGTTTCTACGGGAATAAGGCACAAAATTCAGCTTTGAACACAAACGGTATGGCGATGAAATTATACGCCCACACCGGAAAAAAATCTCTCGTTACTAAAGTGAGATAACATACGCAGTATACAATGTACTTACTATTTATAGTGAGCTCAACGCCTTTGGTGACTTTTCCTACTACGTTGCTGGCAGAGCATTCAATCAGGCCATTATCGCTACCTGTGGCATTATTAAATGTCAATTTCTGTACAGAACCATCGTCGCTGACAGAGTAATCCGACTTGATGTGGTCTAGGTCCCACTCTAGATAAGGCGTGGGTATTACATTACCCACTACCTCGCATCTCATTGTTACCGACTCCGTCTCGTTTATAGTTATCTTCTGTGGCTCCACTTTCAGCACTGGTAAATCTGGTACAAGGAAACAGAAAAAGAAACGCATATAGTCAGAAGGCGACTAATTATATTATTTGAAAGCGCATAAGAAACAAATTATCATGATGGAGGAGAGAGTAAGTTATTCGCAAGATGAATCCAGTAACATACCGCACTGTTCGTCTAACTCCGTGATGTCGGCATCCTTCAAGAACATTTCCGAGCCAGAGCCGCTTGGTAACGTACACTTCAATGAATCGCTCACTTTGTTGTGTTCGATCATCAGTTGCAACCATTTTGACTCGCAGGTACACGGCACGTTATTTCCATTCAAAATTCTGCAAAAACAGAATAACAGTTTTACAAAGATAACTGGCTACAAATTGTGCAGTAACACCCTACTCAATTTTCTCCGATCTCGACAGCGGCGCATACGAATATCGCTCCACAAACAACTAAACAATGTTCTCCCCGAAATTACGTTTCCTTGAGACCACAACATTCGTAAACAATTAAAACATATGTCCGTATTCTAAA